ATAATACAAATAATAATAAAGAATGATCCAGCCTCAAAAGTCAAGGTGCTGAGACTGAGAAATCCTGCTCAAGATCTACATCTCAGAATCCAGCCTCCAGCCCAGGCCATCTCTAATTCTGCAGAGGCATCTGTGAGTCCATAACAGGTCCATAAATTCACTCCTTCTTCCAGGATGAAGAATGGAGGAAAATCATAAAATGGCACATGCAATGATGCATTGATGATCTCCTTCCTGCTAACCCTGTGGCCAAGAACACAAAGCACACACAACCCCCGACAGAGAAGGCAGAGAAGGAGCACATCAGTCAAATCAGCATTCCCTAGGGCCCGCCTGATCATTGAATAGATTTGAGAGCGTGCAGCATCTTTCGCCTGGTCTTAGAATTTCTGCCAGCCTTGGCATGCTGAGGGCTTGGGAGGTTGCATTTTGGGTTTTGTTTTATGGCTTACTCTGGACCTTAATGTAATAAAGTCAATGAGAGCAGGGACAGTCCCCAGTCACCACCTCAGGACCATGGCAAAATTTAATGACCTTTTTCAGGAATTTAAAGTACTCACTGAAGGGCCTTCTGCAAAAGTGAAGCATGACCCAATGAGTGTAGCCCAGTGCAGTTAGGGTGGACAATGTCAAGGCCAGCATGGGATTGTTTTTCAGGGGGATGCAGCAGCCAAGAGTTTCTGGGCCCCGCACGACCCTCAAAGTATTCCCAGAAATGCCATTGGTCTTTCCACAGCTGTCCAGGGGCAGAGAATCCACCGAGCGTCGGTGATTCTGTTACGGTCATGCCAGTACCTTAAAGGTATGTGGTGGGGCGCTCTGGAGGAGTTGGGGAGGGATTCTATCTGTAGCGTGTGCATGTATGTGCTGTACATGTGTGTATATGTAATGTGTGTGCTCATGTGTGTGATGTGCAATGCTTGTATGTGGGTGCTTATATCTGTATGATGTGTATTCATGGCATGTGTACATGTATATAACGTGTGCACATGTGTGTGTATGTGTATGGCCACACCAACTGATCAGAGCCACAATAAGAAGACCAAGGAAGATTCCAGAGATAAGCCTGCCCTACACCTCTGATTGATGGGCATCTTTGAAGAGACAGGCTAGCATCTAGGGGCTTTGAGAGGAAGTTATGAAAGTTCAATTCCTGTTTCTGCTACTTCGGAGATACATGATCTTGGGCAAGATGTTTAACTTCTGGAAGACCCAGCTTTTTCACCTCTGTACAGGGGCAATAAAAGGACCTACCTGTGGGTTTCAGGAATTACTGAATTCATGGAACGCACCTCACGCTGGGCATAGAGCAGGCACTCAAATGTTGGCTGTTCTGACGATCACTGCTTCAGGAGACAGTTCTTCCTGGAGTCTAACCTAAGGCTGCTTGCCTCCTTCCCTGCCTCCCAGGGACTCCATTCCCCTGATCACCATCTCTGTGTGACATATCCTTGTCCTCTTGACTTTAGCTGCTTCTCTTTGGGAATGTCAGATCTCAACACTCCAGCTATACCCAGTTCATGTAGCCCAGCCAGGAAGGAACCGGGTGAGCTGATCACCAACCCTCAGCCTCACACGTGCCTCGGAGACCCCAAAGCCTTCTCTGGTGGCCCAGCAGACTGAAAAAAAAAGTCTGGCTGGGGTTTCCCCCCTTACGCCTGCAGCCAATGCCAGCTGAGGCTTTCCCTCCTAATGCCCCAGATGCCTGACGGCGTTATTGCCACAATAAAGCCATGACAGGCCCCTATCAACTCTCAATCAGCCTAGCCTGCCCTTCACAACCGGTTTGTCAGACTGCCTCTCCCTTCGTCATTGTTAGCTCTCTGCTTGCTTATCTGCTGCTGGAGACAGAAGTCTCTGGTTTAATTGTGGCAAATTAATGATTGAACTCCACAGCCGGCTCCTCCCCATGTGCACGACAATCCCTCCCATTCAAGGTGCCGAGAAGGAACTCACTGTTAGAGACCAGAGTCCGCGGGTAAAGGCAGCGACCAGTTCTGGGACCGCATTCAGTCCCACACCCAAGCAGCTGAGTGAAACTCTTCCTCCTCCACGAGGCCTCTCCCAGCCCTTCAGTTCAAGACGTCTCAGTGAGAGAGGTTCTATAGCAACACGGCTGCACTGAAGCTTCCTTTGTAAATCGATTAGTGGTGCTGAACCACGTAACTCACCAGCTTATTTCTCCTGGGCATGCGAGCACCTGCGCCCGATGAGAGCAGATGCATAATCAGCGTTGAGTTGATAAAGGAGCACAGATGAGTCTCCTCTCCCAACTCAATCGATTTTATTGTATAATGGTGGCTATGTATTGAATAACATCTGTAACTCATTTATTTAAACATCACTAATTGCACTTACGTCTCAGGCATGGTTTCAAGCATTTCCTCCTAATAATTACATGAGGCTGCCATCAACACGTATTTTACAGATGAGGAAACTGAGGCACTGAGAGGTTAAGTTGCATGTGTAAGACTCCAATGAGTGGTAAACTAGGATTAAAACTCAGCGTCCACACACGTAAGCATCACAGTATGTCCCTCCCATGAGGTTGCTACCCCTATATAAAATGGTAAAATGAAAACCTAGAATCCACCACCCAACCAAAGATCTGGATCTGATCCCTGCCTCTCTCTGACTTTCTTTATGCAGTCTTTTCAGTTGCCCCCCGCCCTTCTTTTTCTTTTTTTCTTTTTTGTGACGGCGTCTCGCTGTGTCGCCCAGGCAGGGTGACACAGGAGTGCAGTGGCGCCATCTTGGCTCACTGCAACCTCCACCTCCCAGGTTCAAGCAATTCTCCTGCCTCAGCCTCCCGAGTAGCTGGGACTATAGGTATGTGCCACCATGCCTGGCTAATTTTTTTTATTTTTTAGTAAAGATAGGGTTTCACTATGTTGGCCAGGCTGGTCTTGAACTCCAGACCTCAGTGCTGGGATTACAGGTGTGAGCCACCACACCCAGCCTCAGTTCCCCTTTTCTCTTATATGTCATCTGCAACTTCCCTATCCTGAAGTCATGAACATGTTTTTGTGTATTTTCCTCTCTATTTCTCTAATGTTTTCTCTCTGCCTCAGCACTTCCAGGTATAACCTAAGCTGCTTTGATTTGTATTTAAGGATACGTTCTTTGCCAAATGTTAGAGTTTACAAAGTAGCTCCTTGTCCATCTCTTTTGGCACACAATCTCCACTCTCTTCTTTTTCTAACAATCTGGAAGGCTCTACAATGATGGTACCCACATTTGACAAAGGGTTTCTTAGCACTGCTGGACAGCCTGGGAATGTATTAATAGTTAGGCACCGAGATCAATATGTCTTAGCTGTTTCACAGCCTGGGGACAACAGCATAGTATTGCAATGGGGCTAAGAACAGGCTTTGGAGTCAGGCGCTCCTGGGGCTGAATCCCTCATGTCCATCAGCTGTTGACACAAGCATGTTGCAAACAAATGCCTGGAACACTCAGTGGCTTAAAACAAGGGACATGTCATCCTGCATTTGCAGGCCTGCAAGGCTGACTGTGGTTCTCTGATCTAGAATGGACTCAGTGTGCAGCTTAGCTTGAATGTACCTGTTGGCTGAGCTTGGATCCCAGGCTATGGGTTGGTACCTGCTATCTATTGCTGTATAACTAACTACCCAAAACTTAGTACCTTCATACAATAACTGTGATTTATTTCTCACGATTCTTTGGGTTGCCTGGGTTCACTTATGTGGGTAGGGTCCAAGACAGCCTCACCTGTGCAGCGGTTGGTACTGGTTACCCACTGGGGCTCTTCCCTTCTCTTCCATGTGGCCTCTTTTCAAGCAAGCTAGACAGACTTCCTCACAATATGGTGGGCCCAGGGTTCCAAAAGGGTGGGAGTCCCACATGCAAGGTCTCTCAAGGTCTAGGCTCCAGAACCCACGCCCTTCACTTCTGCCAAATTCTATTGGCCAAAGCAAGTCACAAGGCAGCCCCCAGGTGTGGGACGGCGGAGAAATAGACTCCCATTCTTGATGACAGAAGTGGTGACTTCACACTGCAAGGGGCCATGAACGGAGGGTGGTGTGATTCTTTGGTTGGTGGGGGGCAGTGCAGGGAGGTGATCGATGCAGTCTACCCCATTCCTGCCCTAGTTAACTCACGTTTTTTCTCAAGCCAAGACTGAAGGGCCCGTTGTAACCTGGGACACATGCTTCTTCAGGTGACCACAGGAGCCCCAACCAAGCAAAACTGTACAAGTACCTGGCAGCTACTGCTCCTGGTGTGGTCGCTAATATTCCATCAGCCAAAGCACATCACATGGCCAAGCCAACATCACGCTGCGGGGATAGCAGGAAAGGGTGTGTGTGTATAAAACTAAGCAGTGATACAAACTATCACAGCCCCACTGTAAATTCTCATACTTAGTTGACCCATCAAAAACATGGGTTGTTTTCCCTGCATGACCTGCACAGGTACCCTAGAACCTAAAGTAAAATAAAATAAAATAACCAATTCATCCCTATTTGCTTGGGACTTGGTTGGATTTAGCACAGAAAGTCTCATATCCCAAGAAACTCCTCAAACCTGGGCAAATAGGGATGGTTTGACCTCCTTATTTTCAGGACTAAAGGAGATCCTCCCAATGGCTGCCAGCCAAATATCATCGTGATGACTAGCCCCGCTCTGCAGAAGAGAAAAGCAACTTTTCAGTGTCTGTAGAGAGAGCAGATGGAGTAGCCAATATTCAAACCTGGCTCTATTGAAGCAGCTCTCCTATCGTCCATTTCCCATACCCGTTGCCTCCAAAGCCCTTTTTCCTTGAGGTCTCCCTGGTCTTCATTTTTTTATATAAAAACAATTTTTTTTGAGACAGGGTCTCACTCTGTCACCCAGGCTGGGGTGCAGTGGCGTGATCTCTGCTCACTTGCAATCTCCACCTGGTGGACTCCAGTGATCCTCTCGCTTCAGCCTCCCAAGTAGCTGGGACCCCAGTATGTGCTGCCATGCCTGGGTAATCTTTTGTGTTTTTAGTAGAGATGGGGTTTGGTATGTTGCCCAGGCTGGTCTCAAACTCCTGGACTCAAGCAATCTATCCATCTTGGCCTCCCAAAGTGCTGGGATTACAGGCATGAGTCACCATGCGCAGCCCAAAACAAAATGTTTTAATTGGCAAATAATAATTGTGCATACTCCTGGGGTCCATGGTGATGTTTCCACACGTATAATACACAGTGATCAGATCAGGGTAATTAGTATATCCATCATCTCAAATATTGATCATTTCTGTGTCTGGAACATTCACTATCCTCCTTCTGCCTATTTGAAACTACATATTATTGTTAACTATAGTCATCCTACAGTGCAATAGGAGACTAGAACATATTCCTCCTATCTAGCTGTCATTTTGTGTGGATTTCAACAAACCTCTGTAAAGTAAAACGAGTTTCTCTCTGGGAAGGGAGAAACCAAGTCCCAGAGAAGTTAAAGGAGACATCTGCCAATGAGGAGCATGGAGGGCTGGGACTAGCCTGGAGCAGAGGGTAGACACAGAAAACAGAGGGACCAACCCATAACCAGGAGGAGGCCCTGAGAGGCAGGGAGAAGGATGCCGCTGGGCTTGGCTGAGAGTGGCTGAGCTTCAGCACTAAGCCTCTTCCATCTCCTGTGACTTTGGGCTTTGGGAAATGACCCATGGGGTCTGACTCCCTAGAGTTGGATTCCAATTCTGCCCTGGGCTCTAACTCACTCACTGTGTGGCCTGGGGCAAGCTGTCCAACCTCCCTGGGCCTCCATTTCTCTGTTTATGGATCACCTGCCTGACTTCCCAGGAATCACCGTGAAAGAGAGCCCTGGAATTCCCCAGAGAAAGGAGGTGTCATTATACGTTATCTGGCCACCACCTTGCAGGTGAACCCCAGAAGAGTGGCTTGGTAGTTTTTTCTCAAATAAATTCCACAAAGAGGAGGCATGTTGTAACAGAAGAGTATTGGATTTGGAATCAGAACACCGGGTTCCAGTCCCGATTTGCTATTTAAAAGTCTCCCATCGTCCTGAAGCTACAGTCTTGCTTAAGAATGAATCATAATTCTTCCCTTGCACAGGAGGACCAAATCAGTCAAGAATGCAACCACATCATTCACCTGTAAGGCACATATGCCTCCGCAGAGGAAGGGGAGGGCAGGGTCTCTGCCCGAACATCAGCTGAGTGGTAACTGAATTCACTGGGATGAAACTGATGAGGATGGTGGTAACGATGCTCTAAAGCACCTGAGATTTCTCCCGGTTCCCTCAGGAAATCCCCACTCTGAGATCTGGGACCGCCACTTCCAAATCCCTGTCCTGGATTCTTTCCTTTTCCGAGGGCATCTAGAGGACAAGCACCTGATGGGAATGTTTTCCAAATACTCAACATCTGGAAAGAGCTGTTACAAAGGCCCCCTTTGTGTGGCCGGGAAATGGGCTGGCAATAAAACAGGGCCAGACCCCACCGAGCTGGGAATGGCAATGAAGAGAGGGTGAGTGAGAGAGGAGCAGCGCAGAGTGGCCCGGGAGGAGGACCTGTGAGAACAAGACCACCAAGGGGGTGTCCGGGCAGCAACGGAGAGTGGTCATTGCCTATCCAGCGCTTTCTACGTGCTTCATCTATAGTGCCGTATTTATGTAAAAGAAAGTTTCCGCAGTGGTCACAGTGAGGGAGGAAGATGTATCTGAAGTGTGGTGGGAAAGATGGAAGAATTCACTCAACAGTAGAACATTTTTCAAGTCTTGACAGAGAAGGCAGGAAAACCGTCCCTGCTGGAGTATTAAAAGGTGACAATGCCCCAACCCTGTTTCTAACCTACATAATCCTTAGAGCCATGTGCTCCGAAAGCGGGTCCAGGTGCCCTCACAGGAGCTCCTGTCCCTTTGTTCCAGCAGGTGTCTGTGCGGCTGTGTGCATGCCCTTGGGGGCTTATGGGAACTATAAGAACAGATGATGCAGTGCCATGGTTCTTCTGTCTGTTCTGCCACAATCAAGCAATGCTCTGCCCTTCCTTGTATGCCCCCCCCGCCCCCGGCCACCCCAAGGCAGTCTGAAAGCACAAGGGAGCTCTCTTGATGGAAACTTCTTGGGAGGCTACAGGCCTACTATGCAAAGTCCCTTCCCCAAAGCCAGAAAGCCTTATGCTGTTTCCTTCAAAAAGTTTCTGGAAATCAATTCAGGCAGCTCTTGCAGAATCTCAGAATCTTGGGGCTGGAACGAATCTCAGGAATCCGACTGCAAATGAGCAGTGGATGGACCACCTGCTTTAAACTCCACGAGGGGGCTTGTTAAACATGCAGAGTCCCAGACTGGGTCACAGAACCACCTACTGAGTGGGGATGAGGCGTTGGAGTCCAGAAATCTGCATTTGGTAAACCCTATGGGTGATTTTTCAATGCACATTCAAGTGTGAGAAGTATTGATCCAAATCCTGACCCAGCCTCCAGGACAGCAGCACTTGCTAAGGTGAGGCACATGGCTGTTCTTTCCATTCTTAAACATATCTAAGGCTGCAGACATTTCCCGCAGCATTCAGAAAGGCTTTCTCAACTTTCTCTTTTTATATCTAATCTTAGCTTTCTGAACATGCTCCTTGCATAATTTAATGAACACAAACTATCTACTGTGTTATTTCATTGCATACTGCCTTTTTACCATTCATGACATCCTTTGAGTCACATACAGTTGGAGGCAGCTGGAAAGGGAGGGGAAAATAGGAGGAAAGGCGGTCGTGGGAAAAGAAGGGAAAGGCAGAGACGAGAGAAGACACTCCCTTATCTCCTGCCTTTGGGAACAATGAGCTGACTTCTTGGTGTGTCCTGGTCATTTTTACAACCAGAGCAGATAGAGTGTCACTGAAACTCAGAACTGCCACATTTGAAAAAACTAAATTCTACTTTTGTTTTTCCAGATTCCCCAGGCCATATTACATCTTTCTGACCAATCGGTTGTTATAGGAAGTCAGCTCAGATGCTTCTAGGAAACCTTAGGCTTACATGAAAAACAGAAGGCATGCAGCTGGTACTGCCCTCCCCTCTTCTTCCAGCCTTGGGCAGTACATTAGTTTTCTAGGGCTGCCATAACAAATTACCACCCTCTGGTGGCTTAAAGTCATAGGATCTCATTATCTCAGAAGTCTGGAGGCTAGAAGTTTAAAACCAAGGTGTCAGCAGGACTATATTCCCTCCAAACCTCTAGGGGATAATTTTCCTTGCCTCTTCCAGTTCCTGGTGGCTCTTGGCTGATGTGGTTTGGCTGTGTCCCCACTCAAATCTCATTTTGAATTACAGCTCCCATAATTCCCATGTGTTGTGGGAGGGACCCAGTGGGAGGTCACTGAATCACGGGAACAGGCTTTTCCTGTGCTGATCTCATGACAGTGAATATGTCTCCTGAGATCTGACGGTTTTATAAAGGGGAGTTCCCCTGCACAGGCTCTCTTGCCTGCTGCCATGTAAGACGTGACTTTGCTCCTCACATTCACCTTCTGCCATGATTGTGAGGCCTCCCCAGACATATGGAGCTGTGAGTCCATTAAACCTCTTTCCTTTATAAATTACCCAGTCTCAGGTATGTTTTTATTAGCAGAGTAAGAACAGACTAATACACTGGCATTTTCTGGCTTGCAATGACATCATTCCAATCTCTGCCTCTGTCTTCACGTGGCCTTCTCCTCCATGTCTTTGCGTGTGCTTCTCTGTCTCTTATAAGGACACAATCCCGGAGGCCCACTCTAATCCTGTATGAGCTCATCTCAATCCTTACTTTAACTACATCTGAAAAGATCCTATAAGGTCACATTCTGAGGTTCCAGGTGGCCATGGATTTTGGTGGGGGACACTATCCAACCTACCACAGACAGTGACATTGTACTAGTCCATTCTCACGCAGCTATAAAGGCATACCCGAGACCGGGTAATTTATAAATGAAAGAGGATTAATGGATTCACAGTTCTGCAGGGCTGGGGAGACCTCAGGAAACTTGTAATCATGGCGGAAATGGAAGCAAGCATGTCCTTCCTCACCAGGCGGCAGGAGAGAGAAGAATGAGTGCTGAGTGAAAGGGGATGCCCCTTATAAAACCATCAGATCCCATGAGAACTTACTCAATTATGAGAACATCATGAGGGAAACCGCCTCCATGATTCAATTACTTCCTACGCATCTCTCCTCTGACACATGGGTATGATGGGAACTACAATTCAAGATGAGATTTGGATGGGGACACAGCCAAATCATATCAGATATGATTTACAGAGCCACAGAAGCCTGAGCGGTAGCATGAGGATAAAATAAGCTAAGAAAGGCAGAGACAGCAAAGGCTAAATGTCAAGACTGAACTGAGCCATGAGCCGTCAGGTCTGGAAAGAGCACAATCAAAGCAGCGTGGTTCACACTGGCTGTGGAGTCACCCAGACCTGTGTTTAAATCCCAGGTCACTATCAGTTTTAGGAGGGAAACCCAGAAGAGTTATCTCATGGCTTTAAACTTTATCCAACTTCTTTGAAAACTTTATTTGAGGAATACACAAGATGATGCACTCAATAATTCACTCACATTCCTTGTTCCTTACCTAAGAACAGCAACTTTGCCTTACTTATTTTTATATCTCCTGTGTATGACATACCATATACAGTAATTCATATTTGTGGGCCCAGAGTAACCAACCAAACATCTGTTATGTGTCAGTAGCTACTTTAAATATTACTAGGCTTCAGTTTCTACCAGTGAAATACAGGGATTTGTTGGGCCTGGGTTACTGCGGTGTTACTGGGATGATAAGCAATTAAAAATTAAAAGGCAGCCGGCTCATGCCTGTAATCCCAGCACTTTGGGAGGCCGAGGTGTGTGGATTACCTGAGGTTGGGAGTTGGAGACCAGCCTGACCAACATGGAGAAATCCCTTCTCTGCTAGTAATACAAAAATTAGTCGGGTATGGTGGCATGTGCCTGTAATCCCAGCTACTTGGGAGGCATGAAAATCGCTTGAACCCAGGAGGCGGAGGTTGCAGTGAGCTGAGATCTTGCCATTGCACTGCAGCCTGGACAATAACAGTGAAACTCCGTATCAAAAAAAACAAAACAAAAAAAACCTAGGAAGTCTTCCAGTTCAACATGGTAGATGAAGTATGCATGTGTGCCCCCACCCCAATCTCATATTAAATTGTAATCCCCAGTGTTGAGGGTGGGTCCTGGCGGGAGGTGACTGGATCATGGGGGTGGATTTCTGAGGAATGGTCTAGCACCATCCCCCTGGTACTGTCCTGATGATAGTGAGTGAGCTCTCATGAGATCTGGTCATTTAAGTGTATGCAGTATCTCCCCACTATGTTCTCTTGCTGCTCTGGCCATGTCATGTGACTGCTCCCCCTCACCTTCTGCCATGATTGTAAGCTTCCTGAGGCCTCCCCAGAAGCTGAGCAAATGCCAGCACCACACTTCCTGCACAGCCTGCAGAACCATGAGCCAATTCAACCTCTTTTCTTTATGAATTACAGTCTCAGATATTTCTTTATAGCAATGCTTGAATGGCTTAATAGAGCATGATCCTTTCCACTCCTTCTCTAAGCCCTTGAAATGACAGTAAATGAAATTAAAAGATTTTTTTAAAAGTCAGAAAGATGAGGAGAATGAGAGAGGAGAGGATGTGAGAGGGTTTTGAAAGTCAGCAGCTCTCTCTTCCTCGGCACTGCCGATGGAGGTGGCAGCCATCTCCTACTCGGTGTCATGGCCACCATCAGACCTGGTAAAGCCCAGGATCATCAAAAAGAGAACCAAGAAGTTCATCTGGCACCAGTCAGATCCATATGTCAAAAATAAGTGTAAACGGCAGAAACCCAGCGGTACTGACAACAGTGTTCATAGAAAGTTCAAGGGCTGCTCAACATTGGTTACAGGAGTAACAAAAAAGTAAAGCACTTGCTGCCCAGTGGCTTCCAGAAGATCCTGGTCTGCAATGTCAAGGAGCTGGAAGTGCTGCTGATGTGCAACAAATCTTACTGAGATGGCTCACAATGTTTCCTCCAAGAACCACAGAGCCATCCTGGAAAGAGCAGCTCAGCTGCTCTCAGGGTCACCAATCCCAATGCCGGGCTGCACAGCGAAGTACATGCAAAGACACCTCATGCGCATGTCTTATTTGTGTTTAAATGAACCCATAACAACTGCCTGAAAAAAAAAGAAGAAGAAAAGTCAGCGACTGATTTAGCTGAGTAAAAAAAGTTGGGCCGGCTGCGATGGTTCACGACTGTAATCCCAGCACTTTGGGAGGCCGGGGCGGGCAGATCATGAGGTCAAGAGATCGAGATCATCCTGGCCAACATGGTGAAATCCCGTCTCTACTAAAAAATACAAAAATTAGCTGGGTGTGGTGGCGTGTGCCTATAGTCCCAGCTGCTTGGGAGGCTGAGGCAGGAGAATTGCTTGAACCTGGGAGGCGGAGGTTGCAGTGAGCCGAGATCGCACCACTGCACTCCAGCCTGGCACCTGGTGACAAAGTGAGACTCTGTCTTAAAAAAAAAAAAAAAAAAAGTTGAAATACAACTGACTACAGAGGAAGAGGCCATGCAAGGTGGTCGACCCACACCTTGACATGCCAGGAGGCAAGGATTGGATGGAGTCACCTGTTGTCTCCGAAGGCAGTGTGTGCAATGGGGCAGGGAACAGCAGGCTTCCTTGAGAGTCTGTACCAAGCTGCTGGAGCTCCCAATCCCCAGCACGCCCCCACCCTATGCACCAAGCAACTCCTCCTCTGCTACGACAGGAGACAAAACTGAACCAGAGAGAGTCCAGATGTGGGGATTGCATAGGGCAGGGGCAGCACAAGGACCAGAAGACAGAGGAACTAAAGAAATGTCTACATGCCCCTTCACCTAGTGTGCTCTCCAAATGTTAGAGACCAACTTACAATTTACCCACAAGAACCATCTGGATTCCTCTGTGATAAGATAGATCATCCCAAGAGAAAGCCCTAAAGATAGTGATAGTTGACAGTCTTCAAGGAAAAGCGGAGTCTCTCTCTAAGTGCCCTACAGCGAGATTTACCAGCTGTCTGGTCCCATCCACCTCCACCTCTACATCCAGAGTGTTCAACGGGGCAAGCATCATCAGGCAGTCAGAGAAAATTCTCAGTAGAGAAGACAGAGACTAAAGCCAGAAAATGTGTGGGGCAGCGGGGTGGGAGCAGAGAAGGAGAAAGAAACCTGGAGAAAATAGGGAGCAAAATAAATAAAAAACGATGACCTCCTTTCATAATTATCCCTGAACAGATAGAAGAAAGTATTACATTCAAGAAATAGGAGCAGAAGACCACAAGAAGGAATTTTATGGCAACCAGAGCTCTTAAAAATTACTAAGTTTCTCTTATTCCTTACTAAGAGAAATAGTAAGAATGATGAAAAAGAAGATCAGACCAGGAGTTCCAAGATCCAACGAGTAAGAATTCCAAAAGAGGAAGAGAAAAAAATTGAGGAAAGAAAATTGTGAAATAAATAAGAAAGTGAACATGAGTTTCCATATTGAAATGGGTGATCAGGGGCACGGTCCAGTGAATTAAAATAGACTCAGACCAATTTCATGACCCTGTGTCATGAAATTTCAGCTTCATTAGACATAAAATAACCTTCAAAGGAGGAAAGAAGGTGGTGAGGAAAGGAGAGAGAGGGAAAGAGAGAGAGAAATTTCATGTACAAAAGAGAAGGAATCTGAAGAGTACTGAACAATTTAACAGCAACACACAAGATGAGAAGGTAATGGAGCATTAATATCAAATTTCCAAGATAAAGTGATTTTTCCACCTAGACTTCTATAGCAAACAAACTATCAATCAATCGTGACAAAACCATTTTAGGATATGCAAGTTCTCAAAAAATTTTCCTCCCCAGAAAGCTATGGAAGGATGTGCTCCATCAGAATGAGGGAGTAAGTCAAGAAAAAGGAAGATTTGGGAGAGCCTGGTAGCAGAGTATTTCATTCAGAGATTGCCAAGGGTGGCATAAAACAGATCCCTAAGCAAAGAGACATTTATTTTGCTCAAATACAAGAAGTCTGGCGAGAGCAGTCATGATGCAACAGTGCCATGATGACCCAATGTGACTAGTGCTGTCTGTCTTATCAGCACTGGTGTACAGATTCCATCCTCATGCTTGCCTCATGGTGCTGTGGTGGCTGTCCCATCGCTAGCTTTTCATCTGTATTCCAGGTGGGAAGAAGAATGCAACCAAATTAGAAAAGAACAGCATCTACCTAAGAAAAAACAAAACTTTCTTAGAAAAATTGTCAGCAGCCTACTGCTTTTGTCTCCTTGGCCAGAATTGCATCACTCTCTAGCTGCAATGGTCTGGGAAATACAGTTTTTAGGTTGGTCTATTAGTTTCCTATTGCTGTTGCAATAAATAACCATGAAGAGTGGTTTAAAGAAAAACAAATGTATTATCTTACAGTTCTGGAGGTCAGAAGTCTGAGATGGGTCTTGCTGGGCTAAAATGAAGGTGCCTTTGGCAGGGCTGAGTGATTTTCTGGAGTCTCCAGGGGAGAATTTGTTTTTTCATCTCTTCCAACTTCTAGAGGCCACCTATATTCCTTGATTCATGGATCTGTCCTCTGTCTTCAAAGCCTGCAATGGCCAGCTGGGTCTTTCACACCTTGTACGACTCTGACGCGTATTCTTCTGCCATCATTTTACTTGTGATTACATCTGTCCATTGGGAAAATCTGGGGTCACCTCCCCATCTCAAGGTCGGCTGGTAAGCAACCTTAATTCCATTTGCAACTTTGAATGCCCTTTACCATGTAACGTAAGATAATCACAGGTTCTGGGGATTAGGACATGGACATCCTTTTTATTTTTATTTTTAATAGAGATGGGGTCTTGTTCTGTCACCCAGGCTGGAGCGCAGTGGCGCAGTTATAGCTCACTGCAGCCTTGAACTCCTGGTCTCGAGCAATCCTCCCACTCTGTCCTCCCAAAATTCTGGGATCATAGGCATAAACCACCACATCTAGCCTGGACATAGACATTTTTAGGAGACCCTTATTCTGCCTACTCTCTACTATACCGGGCATAGTAGATATAATTGTAGCTTTATATAAAATCTGAGTCATCTTTTTTTATTTGAGATAAAGTCCATCTCTGTCACCCAGGCTGGAGCGCAGTGGTGCCATCGTGGCTCACTGCAACCTCTGCCTCCTGGGCTTGAGCCAAACTCCCACCTCAGTCTTCCAAGTAGCTGGGACTATAGGCACACACCACCATGCCCAGCTAATTTTTGCATTTTTTGTAGAGATGGGGTTTCTCCATGTTGCCCAGGCTAGTCTTGAACTTGTGGGCTCAAGTGATCCACCTGTCTTAGCTTCCCAAAATGCTGGGATTATAGGCATAAGCCACAGCCACTGGCCTGGGTCATTTTATTTAGTATAAAGGGAAGTGTGAATTTAGGTAGGCACACCTGCTAAGGATTATGGTGTGGAAAGATGGGAGGAAGCAGGGGTCCCCAATGGCACCACAGAGTCATTTCGCCAAACCCAGACTGAACCTCTGCTCTACTTCAAGTTACATGAGAGAAACCTACCCTTATTCGGTTAAGCCACTTCAGCAAGACGTGTGTTCCATGAAGACACATAAAAGCCTAAGGAAACTTTCATGCTTTAAGGTAAGAATTCAACAGATAACGTTTAAAACCAAAACAGGGAGAAATGCCAGGACAAGCATGGTATTGGGAAGTAGGAGGTAAATATCAAAAGAAACATCTAAATCAGAATTTAAAGAGGTGCCCTGGGGAGCAGATCCAGAGTTGGGGAAATGGAGGGCAGAGCATGGCTGACTTCCTTCAAAAATGGTTATCATGCCATTTGACTAAGTTTCATGTATCTGTTGTTATGCTTAATAAAAATCAATTTTTAATTTAAAGGTGATGATAATAGTTTGGAGCACCTATAGCAATAAACTAGGGGATGCAAGAAAAAAATCTACCCATGCAATTCCCCCTACCGGGCTACATCGAGATGGAAAAGTCATGAAATATTTTCTGCAGGGGCCACTATGCAGAGCCAGGAGGTGACTGCACATTTCCCTTCCCCAGCGAGGGTGCCCAGCATCCTGCTAGCCCTCCTGAGCTATGAAGGGCAGGAAATTGGGACAGAATTGTTTTCCTTCCTTAACAAGATCTCATTTTAGGAGCAGAACTGAGAAGAGCAAACTGAGAAAAGAAAAGTCAGGGGCTGGTTTCAGGCAGAGGAGTGACCACAGGCCCTTCCTTGGGCCATGTCTGTTTCTCTAAGCCTGGCAGTGGGGA